ATGTTAGACCTCTTGGAGTGCATAATCGATACGCGGCTTTATTTGAAACGCATTTATGGACGAAAAATAAGCTTAACTTTTACATTTATTCGTATAGGCTGGATGCCCCTATTACCAGCCTTTTAGTGCCAATTTCAATTTCCTTTTGTGTATCTAATGCCAGCATAGCATAGGGCTATGCCTTTTGAGTTTTTGGTAGGTACCTATTGTAGGTAAATTTTAGGGGCACTGAAATAAATTCATAACAACTTTTAATTTTAAATCATGCATGTCACAAGTATGGAATATGTATTAAGATAGACGACAACAATTATTTTATTTTAATGTTTTACTTCTTACCTTACTGTGGTTTAGCTTTAAGCAGTTACATTTTATCTTTTAACACTAAACAATTAATTAAAATAATATTATAATAAAAATTATGTAAGAACACCGATTTCTTATAATTTAATCATCCAAGTTTTTGAATCTTTATCATCATTTCAGCCCTTCACAAGTTGACTACAGAACATCATCCTCCATAGACTGCCGCAAAGCATGGTCCTGAACCACTTTCCTTTTTATGACTTTTTCATTTATGTTCTTAAGTTATAATAAAATTAGTATTACTAAGTTGTAGTTAATTACATTTATTGTTTGTTTTTGTCTTTCCCAAAAAATAATTAAATATTGTATGGTGTTCTTAACATATACCAAATGTCTGAAAAGCAAGTACGTATCATTTGTTAAACTTTTAAATCAAACACCAATTTTAAAATATAGACGAATTGACCATAACTTACTTAACTATAAAATAAGTTATGTTTTTTTTAATATAGGATAGGGTGACAAACGAGCACACAGTCCACCTGATGGTAAGTGGCTACTATGACCCATAGACATCTACATCTATCCTCAATATAGACTCAAGATGCAGATGCGTTGTCACCCGTGAGGACTAAGATGGAATGCCTCTTTGCCAGTAAAAAGGGTCTCCGGTTCTCTACACTCACCATACGAAACACAGCAGCGTTAAGCTGCTATTCTACGTTGGTTTTCTGTGTGAGTTCAAATTAATGGTATTTATTCTAGTTTATGACAGCCCTGATTTATATTACGTCGTTGAAATAAGGTACTTCTTATTATTTACGTCAAACTAAATAACAGTCGGGCGACTGACATTATGCACTCCATAAATTTCGTATATCTAATTACAGCCCCATTAATTTCCACTAAAAGAAAATAAAAAACTTATAAATTTAAACAAAAATAGCTGCATTACTATGTCTATAGTCACATTCCTACAAATCAAAAAGCCTAAAGATGAGCTAATGTAAAATATGCTTATGTTTTGATTTTTAATTTAACACTGTTAGGTTTTTTTTTTATAGGAGAGGGGGCAAACGAGCATGCGGCTCACCTGATAGTAAGTGACTACCGCCGTCCATGAACAACTGCAACACCAGGGGAATCGCAGATGCGTTGCCGGCCTTAAGGTTTAAAACTGTGAGGTAATATTTGAAATATACTTTCCTCTAATTACGAAGAATTTTTAGCCGACCATATTTGTAGTTAAGACTACTAGAAATCTTATTTACGAAGTAAAAAGGCGGAAAGGCTGGAATTAGGGGCGTGGCTGGTATTAGGGGCATCCAACCTACCCGGGGTTTTTCGTGTCCCACAACTCGGGGGGAGACTGAAAATTTAAAATAAAATATTTTTCTGGCTGAAACACATTTGGTGGGAGTGGCGACGGGCTGCGCGAGCGCGTAGAAGCAGCCTCTTCAATATATTCTGCGTCCGCCTCCATTGCTGTCTAAGCGTTGACTGACGCGTGATTGACGAAATGCCATTACACGTTCAATCAAAATTCGTGACTGATAGTTGATTGACGTAAACATCAAAATATCCAGATATTTGTCAATCAATTTCATGCAACCGTCAATAACCGCATTACACGATAGGTTATTCGTCAATCACTACCGTGATTGTTGTAAAACTGACAGCAAAACCTACCGTGTAATGGGCGTCTAACCATTGGCCACATGATATAGATTTCAGCCAATCAGAAGCCGTAATTCGAAAAGTAGTGACAGCGCCCAAGTCGGTTGGCCTCTCAACACCGCACAAGTCGTTAATCTGTCATACTTTTCTTAGTCAAGTACTTCGCGTTTCGTGATTATTATATTTTTATGTGAGTTTTATCTCTGAAAAGTCTATGCAAGAAGTTTTAATGTAAGATTAAGAGGTAAATTATATAATAAAGTAACCATAGATTAATGATAAGTCATCACGCGCTCTGACTAGATACCGCCGGCGCTAATGTAAAATGCGGCAGCAAATACTACGCCGAAATCGGCGTACCCGAGTCAGTCGCGTTGCAGGCAACGTGTGAGGTGAACGTACCGAATGTTTTATTAAATTTTGATCATAATCCGAAGTAAATACCAGTTTACGTATTGAAACTGTGTAAAGATAATACTACAAGAAATAAGAAAGACACTGGAATCACATACTATCATTAAGTATCATACAATTTCGAATAACATAAAATAACACAAGCCATAAATAAGTCACAAAATATCAATGACGCTATTCAGTGTTGCCGCGAATGCAAAAATAAAGGTCCCCGTGGCTTGAGATTTTTATATGTGAATTTATTGTTACTATATTTTATAATATAATATAATATATTTAACTTATTATAATATAACCTAATGTTATATTATTTAATAAATATTTCTGTAGTATTGCCCAAATGACATAATTGCCGTTTATTAGGGTTCCGTACCCAAAGAGTATCAACGGGACCCAAGTTTCCACTATCGTTCCGTCTGTCTGTCAGTAGGCTGTATCTTATGAACCGTAATATGTAGAATTTTCACAGAATGTGTATTTATATTGCTGCTATAACAACATAAAATAAAAAAGAAAACAAGTAAAATATTAAAGGACCCAAAAAACACGTTTCTTGTGTGAAGACCATACAAGAAACGTGATTTTTTCTGTATTGGTATGTGTTTTGTTTACAGACTAAAGCGAAACCTCGTTTAGCACGCAATAAAATGATGCTGTGTGTATGACGCCCATTACACGGTAGGTTTTGCTGTTAGTTTTACAACAATCACGGTTGTGATTGACGAATAACCTACAGTGTAATGCGGTGATTGACGGTTGCATGAAATTGATTGACAAATATCTGGATATTTTGATTTTTATGTCAATCAACTATCAGTCACGAATTTTGATTGAACGTGTAACGGCATTTCGTCAATTACGCAATTAGCGATGGAGGCGGACGCAGAATATATTGAAGAGGCGGCTTCCACCCGCTCGTGAAGCCCGTCGCCACTCCCGCCAAACGTGCTTCAGTCAGAAAAAGATTTTATTTTAAATTTGGAGGCTCTCCCCGAGTTGTGGGACACGAAAAACCCCGGGTAGGGTGGATGTCCCTAATACCAGCCAAGCCCCTAATTCCAGCCTTTCCGCCTTTTTACTTCCTAAATAAGATTTCTAGTAGTCTTAACTACAAATATTGTCGGCTAATAAATTCTTCGTAACCAGGGGAAAGTATATTTCAAGTATTACCTCACAATTTTTAAACCTAACAATGTTAATTTAAAAATCAAAACACGTACGCAACGAAAAATGCTCATTTTCCTAATTTTTTGACAAGTTCCGATACAATTAAGCATATTTTACATTAGCTAATCTTTAGGCTTTTTGATTTGTATGAATTTGACTGTCGACATAGTAATGCAGCTATTTTTGTTTAAACCTATAAGTTTTTTATTTTATTTTAGTGGAAATTAATGGGGCTGTAATTAGATATACGAAATGTATGGAGTGCTTAATGTCAGCTGCCCAGCTGTTTGATGTATTTGGTTACATTTGGTTTGACGTACATAATAAGAAGTACCTACCTAATTTCAGCCACGTAATATAAATCAGGGCTGTCATAAACTGGAACAAATACCATTAATTAGAACATAACTTTTTTTATAGTTAAGGAAGTTATGATCAATTCGTCTATATTTTAAAATTAGTTTTTGATTTTTAATTAACTACAACTTAGTAATACTAATTTTACTATAACTTAAGAATATAAATGAAAAAGTCATAACAAGGAAAGGGGTTCAGGTCCATGCTTTGCGGCAGTCCATGGAGGATGATGTTCTGTAGTGGACTTGTGATGGGCTGAAATGATGATGAAGATTCAAAAACTTGGATGATTAAATTATAAGAAATCGATGTACTATAATACATAATTTTTATTACAATTTTGTTATAATTAATTGTTTAGTGTTAAAAGAAAAATGGAACTGCTTAAAGGTAAGAAGTAAAATATTAAAATAAAATAATTGTTGTCGTCTATCTTAATACATATTCCATGCTTGTGACATGACATGCATGGTTTATTAAATATTAGGAATTTTCCTATTCGTTTTTTTTTCTTTTACTTTTCAAGATATTAAATTCAATTAAATGGTGAATCGAAAATGAAATTAGTTTATAGGTAGGTGCTTTCCTTTCGAAAATTTGGGTTTGACTGACATCAGTCAGCATGAGCGTGTAATGTAGAAATTATTCTATCATTCAAACGTCAATCATGATTGATCGAACTGATTGACGCTTGCCTAGGCGTGTAATGGGCGTCTATGGTGGTATTGAAAGTTTATCATGAGCTTTTACCGCCGGGTAAAACCATCGATTCGGATCTCTACTACCAATGCTAAACTAATCTGATGATTAATTTTTACCGATATTAATCCACAAAAAAGATTGACTCACATAATCCAGTGGGTGATAGCAATAACAGTATTATTCAAATCAAAATAAATACATCCAGAGCGAGGCACTAAAAGGTTTTGTATTAGATTTTATTTTCCTTATTATTATAACGGTGACATCTATCAACAACGCACATAAGTTAATAAAAATATAATAATTATCATAATTTTACAATGCTGAGCAACAAAACAACGAAAGTGCAGCAAACCAATTCAAAAGCCGTTCACAAGATGTCGCCAATGGTAACATGTGAAATATGTAAACAGAAAATTGAATCGAAAAAAGCATTACTTTGTTCACGATGCAAAAAATATTTTGAATTTGACTGCACCGGTTACTCTGAAAAACTATACTTGTTAAAAGACATAGACTCGAGAAAAAAATGGATGTGCAAAATATGCAAAGAAAACTCAAAGCCAAGTCACACAGAGCCTTCTTTCGTTACAACGAGGAAAAAACCATTTACGCCAGAAATTGCCAAGAAAAACTCACCCGTCGTTACGCAAACGCCAATACAGTCGACACCAAAAAACACATCATGCCATTCTGAAGACTCACATGTACTTACCCTACATAATATATCTTTGGATAACTCACCTTCAATGTCAGACCAACTACTCTCAAGAAGTATGTATTGCACAGTTACAGACGCAATCGATGTTCAAGAATTAAAAGAAACTATTAACGGATTACAATTAGAATTAGCTAGTACACAGAAGGAATTGGAAAACTATATATTAGAAAATAACGCCCTTCGAGATCAAAACTCTAAACTTCTAAAAGAAAATAACGTCTTAAAAACGCTGTGCCAATCTCCAATACAAGATAATAGTATAATAAAAAGCACCAAGAAAAAATCTAAGCCGTATACGCAATTAACTAAAGTCAGTTTACTCTCACCATCCAGTTCACCTACACAGAGACAGTCTCTTATAACCGATGATCAGTTGAACCTGCAACGGCAAATCACATAGTGTCAACAAAAATTGAGCGATGTGCAAATAGAAATTGAAACCCTCAATAAACATATTCACAAGTTAAAACTAAAATTGCATGACACGAATTCATCGCGTTCACCACCCTGTAATAAATTGACCCCTACACCTGCTAAGAAAAACGATAACGAGAAAAGAATATTTATCTACGGATCACAACAGTGTGTCGGCCTATCCTCAGCTCTAATCCGATCAAGAAAAAATACTACGTATGAAAAGTATACAATTACATCTCAAACGAAGCCTGATGCCCTGACTACAGATATTTTAAAATACTGTCATAACGTTGATTTAACGCCCAATGACAAACTAATATTATGTATTGGTGGAAATGACTACGATATAAAAATTTTGACATCCCAACTTCGGAAATTATTAACTACTTTTAAAAATAATGACATACTCTTGTTTTTTTTTTTTTTAAAATAAGTATATTAATATATATGCCTTAAATAATAGTATACTAAAAATATGTAATGAATTTAAAAGATGCCATTTTGTGACATGTACAAATGAAACTATTTTTGACATGTGTAATTCAATTAATTTTCTTATTGACTATATTGACTACGAAAAAAAGTATCTGGATGTACGTGAAATAAAAAAGTTGATAGGACGTGACAATAATCCAATGACACAAAAAACTGGCGTAAACATATATCCTAAAGGAACAATTCCTTATTATTTTAAACGTCAATCCACATTTACTACTACTACTGAAACCGAGGTAAAAAAACCCAAACCCAAGTATCTTATTACTGACTTCTTTCCTATAGATAATAAGAAAAGTTTTTTTCGAGTCTCAAACATATAAATCATTTACAATCATGCATCAGAATATAGCGAGCATACTTGCAAAGAAAGGTTTACTGGAAGTCATGCTGGAGGAATTGCGAGATTGAAATACGTAATATGAATTAGCATCAACTTTTTGTAGAGATCAACAAAGAGGCGGAACTTGTATTTTGATCAAACAAGGATTAATTTACGAAGAATTAAACTTCCTGCACAATCACACAACACAAAAGACATTTGAAGCTTGTGGTACATCCTGTCACTTAAGTTACTCATAATTTGTGTTTACCGAATCCCCAATTCTGACCCGAACTTGTTCTTAAATAAATTAGACGTGGTTTTACGTGAACTTAATAGCCGATATAGAAAAGACATGAAGATTGTAATTACAGGTGACTTTAATATCAATACGTTAAGACCAGGAAAAATTAGCAGCCATTTATCAGATTTATGCAACAACTATAATTTAAAAATACACATTAAAAGTCCAACTCGTAAAGGAGCTTGCATAGATCATATTTTGAGCAATATTAAAGACGCTACAACTACCTTATTACCACTCCATTTATCTGACCATGACACAGCTCAGCTATTAACTTTTCCCATAAAGGGACCAAAAATTACACCCAAGTCACACTTTGTTTATAAAAGAGACTATTGCCTTGAAAATATAAAAAAGTTCAAAAATTGCATTAACAACTTATCATGGTCTGAAGTCTACGACGAGTTTGACGCGAACATAGCTTTTACAAATTTTCACGATATGTTATTTTTATTTTATAATTTATATTTCCCGAACATAAAAATCAAAATAAGCAACATTAATTTTAAAAAAGAAAAATGGATAAGCCGTGGTCTAAAAATAAGTTGCAAAACAAAAAGATATCTTCGCTATAAGTATTACAATAATAAAACATCAGTAAATAAAGAAGCGTACATGGCCTACTCTAAATTATTAAAAAAATGCATTAATAACTCTCAAAGAAAAACAAACATTAAATTTATAAATCGTAGTAAAAACAAATGTAAAGCAACATGGTCAGTGATAAAAAATGAAATAACAAATATAAAAATAGATGACGACATTACTGAATTAAATATAAAAAATGAAACAATAACAAACCCTGCTGATATAGCTACTGCCTTTAACGACTACTTTATTAACACGACTGACACTGTATCAATTAACACTCCAAAATTTAAGCAAAAGGAGACAACAGTTAATTCAATGTACTTAAAACCAATGACGGTGAAAGAAGTAAAAAAGGAAATTATGAGTCTAAAAAACACAAAAGCCGAAGGATATGACAGTATATCCACTAATATATTAAAAACGTGCGTCACTGAAATAGTTGATATCCTTACATATCTCATAAACTTGTCCTTTTCTGCAGGTATATTTCCAGATAAGTTAAAGCTATCTTTAGTCAAACCACTGTACAAAAAGGGGAATAAAAAACATCTAGCAAACTATCGCCCTATAACATTAATACCGATTCTTTCAAAGTTATTTGAAAAGTGCATGTTAAAAAGGCTTATGAGTTTTTGCTCTAAGTATAATATTATAAAAAAAGGAACAATTTGGCTTCCAGAAAGAAAAATCAACAACTTTAGCAGTATTTAACCTAATAAATAAAATATTGACCAGCTTAAATAACAATTATCTAACTACTGTACTCTTTATTGACTTATCAAAGGCATTTGACTTCGTTGCACATAAAACTCCTGTGAGCAAACTGGAATCTCTCGGAATCAGAGGACCCCCATTATTATGGATATCATCTTATCTAAGTGGGCGTAAACAAAAAGTTGTCCTCAAAAAAATATTTAATAATGAAATTAGTTCTATTTCGTCTGAATATAGAGACTGCAGCACTGGTGTCCCACAAGGAAGCGTACTTGGACCCATTCTATTCATACTTTACATTAATGACATAACAGAAGTAACAAAACATCAATGTACTTTATATGCCGATGATATATCCATAATTATTACATCTAACAAATCTGAAAACAATGTCTCTTTGCATAATCATGAATGTGACATTAATAATACTATTGACATAATAATCGAATGGCTTAAAGCAAATAATTTAAATATTAATCTTGATAAATCATACTATATACAATTCAATAAATCAAAACATAAGCTGCACAATTTTAATCTAAATGTGACAAAGATAAAAAAAGTACAACAATTGAAATTCTTAGGTATAACTATTGACGCGAACTTGAACTGGAAAATACATATAGACCATTTGTGTAACAGAATTAATCAGTTCGTATATGCTTTTAAACGTGTTAGGACCGTAACCGACAAAAAGACCGCTATTATGTCCTATCGCGCCTAAATAGAATCGATATTGCGCTACGGCATTTTACTATGGGGCAACAGTACGGACAAAATCAGAGCATTTATAGCTCAAAAAAAATGCATTAGAGCCATATGTGGAGTTTTACCTGACGTTTCCTGTAAACCACTGTATAAAAGTCTAGAATTATTGCCTCTACCATCACTTTATATTTATGAAGTTGCGGTTTTTGTACACAAAAACACAGAATTATTTAACAAAGTTAATAATTTTAGATTGAGAGATCCTCACAGATTGATATATAATGACATTCCAAGGTCGGATAAGTATGCAAAAAGTTGCCTCTGTATGGGTGTCAAAATATATAACAAGATTCCTAGAGATATTAAAATGCTCAATATCAATATGTTTAAACATAGGTTGTACAAATGGCTAAGTCAGAATAACTTTTATAGCATAGATTCATTTCTCTGTACCAAAAACTTAACATAGATTAATATAGTTATAAAGTCTTATTTTATTCAATTTTTATTCGTGTGACAGTGACATATTTGGTGATAATTATTATATTAATAGTATGAATTGACATGTAATCTCATTATAATATTTTTAAACTCAATGTGTTATTTGCATGCTATTTTCATTATGGCGAAACATATGCGCTCTGTCAAACTTGTACCAGCTTATAATACTATGTTTCTAAGCAAATAACGAAATTATTATTATTATTATTATTAAATAAATAATGAGACAAGCAAGAAATAGAAATAAAAAACGGCTGGCATTGATAATCAGAAAAGGAGTGGTCTTTCATCATGATAACGCCAAATCACAAGATTAGTTATCTGTTTGAGACTTTAATTACACACTAACATTCCTAAAAATTCAGTATTTGATTGAGTACTTAAAACTGGTTTAAAAGTTTTAGTCATTATTTTCTTTTGTTGCTTGTGTTCTATTCCATGTCCCTTCAAATCTCTGGTATTGAATATATCAAATAAAACTACTTGTCGCATTTTTTAAATCAAAATCCCAAGATTTCTAGAGCAACGTTTATTTTCTATTATGTTACTACCTACATGATGGTAACAAATTATCGAACAGAATGGACCCATATATATTATAATTAAATGTAATAAAACTTTAAAACAAAAACGTCTTGAATTTGTATACTATATACGAAGAAACTTTTTCCCCGGTCTTATATACTAACTAAAGGTGTAACAAAATAGTACTTAATAACTAAGGGAATGATTCTGTCCGTCAACATGAATATTTTTTATTATGGGATCATCTTCGAAATTTTCAATTTATACGTGATAGACTCATACTGCAGCTATATTACTGGTATAGTTGTAGCACGAATGGGTCAGCTCGACCGGGGAAGGACCACGCTCTCACAGAATACCAGTCTAAAATAGGAGCTTAACGCTGCTGTGTTTCCTATGGTGAGTGTAGAAAACCGGAGACCCTTTTTACTGGAAACGAGGCATTCCATCTTAGTCCTCAGGGGTTGCAACGCATCTGCATTTTGATTCTTAACCGAGGATAGATGTAGATGTCTATGAGCCACAGCAACCACTTACCATCAGGTGGACTGAGTGCTCGTTTGTCACCCTGATCCTATAAAAAAAATCTCAAAGTCAGTTATTCCATACACAATTTCGTATAAACTTGCTCAAAATGTATGGAAAACCTGATTTTTCTTACGATTTGGAAGATAGACCTATAGTAAAAGTTGTTCATATTGACGCGTAGAATAGAAAGCACTATTTCGATTACACCATATACATAACAATTTTTTTAAATAATTTGTGAATATTAGTTAGACATGTAAATAAAAAAATTTAACTGATAAAATAGAGGCCTTATCATTTATATGTCATTTATTCAGAAGAAAAACCTATACATAATATACACAAATATATTGATACATTCGTTATTAATAAACTATTCATTTTTAAGTATTTCTGGAATACATTCATAACTATGAACTTAACTACTAAGCCATAGCATAAATTAAATTTTCCCGTTAATCGGGTAATAGTTAAGCTACTGGCATATACAATTTTTCACGCACACTAGCATCTTGCAAATTGTCTTATACACACTACAATATTAAGATGCCGCATTCATGGAGCTGTTACTTGCAGGGAGCGCGGTATTTAGCCAGAGCGCGCGATGAGTTATCATTAATCTAAGAAAGTTACGTTTATTGATTTACGCGTATTAATATAGAAAGAAATGATAAAAAAATCTTCATTTACCTTAGCGATGTTTACTAACTTTCTTTTTTAACTTAGGCGGTGTTTCAAAACGTATTTTATTTCTTTTATGAAGTTCAGTAATTGAAATACACTATGGATAGAGAAGAAATTGATTCCTGGAGTAATCCGAGTTCAGGTCATGAATTATTATGTGCACAATTAATTACAAGAAGCAGGACTGATGTCACGAATTTGAATAAAAATTGCCATGACAACCAGATAAACAACGATGTCAAAACATGTAAAATTTTGGTTTCAGGCTCGTAATAGAGAAACGGCAAGATTTAAGTGAAAAATGAGATATTATTGATATAGGAAAAAAGGTAGCGCAACAGCGCGCACGAAGCCCGAAATTGCAGGGTTACGGAGAACTAAATAAAAGATCGAAAAAGGTAGACTCCATCGACACCGATTTAAAAAGTGCTGAAAGCGTGAAAATACGAAGTGAAAATGATTTGTTATTGTGTTCTTATGGTTTAAAAACGTTACAGGATCCTATGGAAATAAATATCCAGTTTTGAGGTGAATGCAGAAAATCAAAAAAGAATGGAAAAATGAATTTAAAATAGTGTAAAATGATATGTAAGTAGCATAACACTACAAGAATTAAACTAGGTTTGTTTTGAGGTCCGCATTTATTTTTCTGTTGTTTATATTTTTAATGCAATAAGTCCTACTATTTTTTTTTTTAGATTTCAATCAAAAAGATAACACTAGTTCTTCTGATATCAAAGCAATTTTCCAAATAAATACCAAATTATTGCAAGACCAATGAACGAACAAAACTTCGGAAGGTCCATGAAAAGTATTATAAGAAGCCTGGACAATATAAAAAAAATTTGATCAAAACATATACTTGGATATTGAAAACACTGACTTTAACAATCTACAAGTTATAGAATTAGTTGGTAATGACTTCTTCGATGTGCAAAAGGAGCCACCCGAATTCGATACGGTGGCCATCGAGTTTCCTCAGCCTTCTGTATTGAATGTTGCCATTATCACGGTAGAAAGTGAGAATGTTATGCAAGAACTAGGAAGTATTGTCGTCAATATAAATTCTATAAAATTAAATCATTACGAATGTTTCCCTACTTCAAACCAAGATATTCTCATATCTACGAATACTCAAGACCAAATTTCTGATATAGTCATTGATAATGAAAATAATACTCAATGTACAGATAAAAAAAATGTAAACCAGAACAATATGCAGCAATCCAGTACCTCTGCTACTCCGTCCTGTTCTTCAAAAGTGGTCATACTCAGTAATTTTCCATATCACGGTGATTTGTAAAGTCATAAGAAATGACAGAACAAGGCGACAAGAGATCCAAAGAAATATAAACGCAATGTTAATAAAGAATTCTGGATGAAAGGTGAAAATTATTTACGCCACAGAAGAGACAAAAAAGCAAAGACTAATGAAAAATTTAAAGTGGAACTTGACGTATTTACGCCTGCAAGATCCATGAAACCACCATGCACTTCCGTCTTTTGCAAGAAATCGATACTCAGATTATGTGACAACATAAACAAACAACAGCGGCAATATTTGTTTGAAACTTTCTGGAAGTACATGAACTGGGAGCAACAAAGATCATTTATAACTTCTCACGTTAATAAAGTACCAAAGAAAATTACAAAAAATCCAGAAACATCCAAAAGAACTGATAGTTGAACTTATGTTTTGACGACTTATAATGTACGCCACCAAGTCTGTAAAAAAATGTTCATGGCCACTTTTGGCATTAAGGATTGGTTTGTCAGATATTGGGTGACAAAAACAGACTGTGCTATTTTTCCCGATTTGTCTACTTCAACCATTAATCGCAGGAATCCAGAGAAAATCGCATTACTGTCGTGCTAAATCATCTTGAGAATATTTAGAACCAAATTTTATTTGCGGATTTTATCGCGTTTAATTAACTTATTTTATATTCCCGACAATTTTCTCGAGCATAACACAGCTCTATAACACATATAAAGAGAATTGTGAGTTAGAGAGTAGAGAATGCTTTGACGGTAAATTATTTGACAAATTATTTTTGAAACTCAATTTGAGCTCATTCCACCCGAAGAAAGATCAGTGTGACGTTTGTTGCAGTTATAAAACTGGAAGCATTTTTATAACATCTTACATGAAAAATACGCTCAACATGTTTTGAAAAAACATCGAGCCAGGAAAGAGAAAGATACTGACAAAGGTATTGCACAGCCGGAGCTTGTCACGTATTCACGCAGGATGTTGAATCGGTAAAATTGGCCCCGTATCTTCAAGCCAGTACTATTTATTATAAAACTAAATTATGCGTCCAGAATTTTACATTATACAATTTAGCAACTAAGAAAGTAATGTGTTATTGGTTCGATGAGTCAA